TAATAGGTTTATTTTACAACGTAAAATTTCAAACGTCCATCAACGTTTGCCAATGTTTAACAAACGTTGGTTAACGTAGGTAATAGGTCTTATGTGCGACGATGGCTTCATTACATTTACATTTACATTTTAGTCATTTAGCAGACGCTCTTATCCAGAGCGACTTACAGTTAGTGAATACATATTTTTTTTTTTTTTTTATTTTTTTTTTTTTATTATTTTTTTTTTTTTATTTTTTGTTATTTTTTTCAACTAATAAACACAGGAAATTTCAACTATATATACAGTACCAGTCAAAAGTTTGGACACACCTACTCATTACATGTTTTTTCTTTATTTTGACTATTTTCTACATTGTAGAATAATAGTGAAGACATCAAAACTATGAAATAACACATATGAAATCATGTAGTAACCAAAAGAGTGTTACACCTGTTATGTTATATTTGAGATTCTTCAAATAGCCACCCTTTGCCTTGATGACAGCTTTGCACACTCTTGGGAGTGACCAAGAAGCCGATGGTCACTCTGACAGAGCTCCAGAGTTCCTCTGTGTAGATGGGAGAACCTTCCAGAAGGTCAACATCTCTGCAGCACTCCACCAATCAGGCCTTTATGGTAGAGTGGCCAGACGGAAGCCACTCCTCAGTAAAAGGCACATGACAGCCCGCTTGGAGTTTGCCAAAAGGCACCTATACAACTCTCAGACCATGAGAAAAAATATTCTCTGGTCTGATGAAACCAAAATTGAACTCTTTGGCCTGAATGCCTGGCACCATCCCTACGGTGAAGCATGGTGGTGGCAGCATCATGCTGTAGGGATGTTTTTCAGCGGCAGGGACTGGGAGATTAGTTAGGATCGAGGGAAAGATGAACGGAGCAAAGTACAGAGAGATCCTTGATAAAAACATGCTCCAGCGCACTCAGGACCTCAGACTGGGGCGAAAGTTCCCCTTCCAACAGGACAACGACCATAAGCACACAGCCAAGACAATGCAGGAGTGGCTTCAGGACAAGTCTCTGAATGTCCTTGAGTGGCCCAGCCAGAGCCCGGACTTGAACCCGATCAAACATCTCCGGAAAGACCTGAAAATAGCTGTGCAGCAGCGCTCCCCATCCAACCTGACAGATCTTGAGAGGATCTGCAGAGAAGAATGGGAGAAACTCCCCAAGTACAGGTGTGCCTAGCTTGTAGCGTCATACCCAAGAATACTCGAGGCTGTAATCACTGCCAAAGGTGCTTCAACAAAGTACTGAGTAAAGGGTCGGAATACTTATGTAAATGTGATATTTCCGTTTTTTAAATAAATTTGCAAAGAAAATAAAAACCTGTTTTTGCTTTGTCATTATGGAGTATTGTGTGTAGATTGATGAGGAGAGAAAACAATTTAATCAATTTTAGAATAAGGCTGTAAAGTAACAACATGTGGAAAAGGTCAAGGGGTCTTAATAACCTCTAAAAATGAGGGGTTCAGCAAGGGTTCTAAGATCCTCAGTTCTTCGAAGAACCTTAGGGTTCTTGGCACTGAAAATTACCCCCAAAAAGTTTTTCCAAGAACCCTATAGGAGGTGGGGTTCATCAAGGAACCTCCTTAGTTGGTGGGGGGTTCTTGCAGGAACCTAACTGCCCAACTGAAACATTTGGAGATGAATTTGAAAGGACAGCAGGTGCAGGCACTTAACTGAAAAATTTAAAGATCTTCTCAATTTAAGATGAGGTTTGTCCCTTGTATGATCTAAATGTATATTGTAGTATGACGATACCATCTATCTTTTCATATTTGTGCAAATCTTTCTAAAACAGAAAATGGACACAATTCAATGGATATCAATCAACAAAGAGGTAAGAATATGTAGGCTATAAGAATATGTTGAAGGCTAGCTGTATTGGGTGCAGATGACTGAACTGCTCACTTTTGTGTCTGTGTCTGCAGGTATACAGACGAGGAGGCATACAAAGGTATGTCAATTGGTATTGGTATGCTATGCATAGCACATTTACCATCCTCCTCCCTTACCTCTTGAATGAAAATCCCATAGGCCTCTACATTATGGACAAGGTATGTGTATGAAAACCGTTATCAAAACAGTTTTTTTCATTCACATTTACCACAAAAACCAAGGTATGAATACTGTCGTGTGCATGTTTTGTTAATCATCTGTATAATAATAAAAAATTGGGATTCACAGACTTCACCTTCCCTACACCTCTGATGAATATAACAGGAAACATGTTTGATCACCATGCACTGCAAAATCATTCTGGCTATGGATACGGAGAACATCAACACTAAGATCAACACACCAGAGGATATACCCATTATACTTGGGGTTCTGCTGGGAGTATACCTCATATTTAGATTTTTGTATTCTGCTTTGCCACTGAAATCATAATAAACTAAAATATTGTGTTATTGTTATGCATATTATTATTATTAATAATAATAATAGGGGGGTAGTTAGAAAATGAACCCCAAAAGGTTATTCAAAAGGTTATTTGAGGAACCATTAAAAGGGGGTCTTAAAAGTTTTTAAATGGTTATTCAAAGAAATTAGTTTCAATTTGAAGAACCCCTAAAGGGTACTCCAGGAACCTTTTCTTTTTAGAGTGTATTTTCCGAATGCACTCTATATGTATATATTGATGACACATCAGCAGGTACTTAAGTCCTAAAGTTGAGAGCCTGTGACATTTTATTACAATAATAATGACAGGAAGGATAAACCGATATTACAATGCTTTGCTTATATCGATATTAAACTACACTACCGGTCAAAAGTTTTAGAACACCTACTCATTCAAGGGTTTTTCTTTATTTTTACTATTTTCTACATTGTAGAGCATGGCGTTTGCAATGCCAGGGTTGTGGGTTCGATTCCCACGGGGGGCCAGTATAAAAAAAAAAATAAAAAATAATAATAATGTATACTCACTAACTGTAAGTCGCTCTAAATAAGAGCGTCTGCTAAAATGACTAAAATCTAAATGTAGAATAATAGTGAAGACATCAAAACTATGAAATAACATATTGAATCATGTAGTAACCAAAAAAGTGTTAAACAAATCAAATTATATTTTATATTTGAGATCCTTCAAATAGCCACCCTTTGCTTTGATGACAGCTTTGCACACTCTTGGCATTCTCACAACCAGCTTCATGAGGTAGTCACCTGGAATGCATTTCAATTAACAGGTGTGCCTTCTTAAAAGTTAATTTGTGGAATTTCTTTCCTTCTTAATGCGTTTGAGCCAATCAGTTGTGTTGTGACAAGGTAGGTGGGGGGTGGGTGTACACAGAAGATAGCCCTATTCGATAATATTATGGCAAAAACAGCTCATAATTACTTTAAGACATGAAGGTCAGTCAATACAGAACATTTCAAGAACTTTGAAAGTTTCTTTAAGTGCAATTGCCAAAACCATCAAGCGCTATGATGAAAGTGGCTCTCATCAGGACCGCCACAGGAATGGAAGACACAGAGTTAACTCTGCTGCAGAGGATAAGTTCATAAGAGTTATCAGCCTCAGAAATTGCAGCCCAAATAAATGCTTCACAGAGTTCAAGTAACAGACACATCTTAACATCAACTGTTCAGAGGAGACTGTGTGAATCAGGCCTTCATGGTCGAATTGCTACAAAGAAACCACTACTAAAGGACACCAATAAGAAGAAGAGATTTGTTTGGGCCAAGAAACATGAGCAATGGACATTAAGACCGTTGGAAAAGCATTCCAGGTGAAGCTGGTTGAGAGAATGCCAAGCGTGTGCAAAGCTGTCATCAAGGCAAAGGGTGGCTATTTGAAGAATCTCAAATATATTTTGATTTGTTTAACTCTTTTTTGGTTACTACATGATTCCATATGTGTTATTTCATAGTTTTGATGTCTTCACTATTATTCTACAATTTAGAAAATTGTAAAAATAAAGAAAAACCCTTGAATGAATAGGTGTTCTAAAACTTTTGACCGGTAGTGTATATCGATATCATATCAATCGAATTATCGATATTGGTGCCCACCACTAATATTTTACCATTAACATTGGTCCCCACTTTAAACGAAGTGTAACTTATAAAGGCTTTATATAGCATGCATCATCTATAAGCATGTGTCATACTCTATCAGTGCTGTATAAAGGGTGACATAACCATTTCTACTGTAGGCTAAATTGCCACGTGACATAACACGCTATGTATGTTTATACACCATTTATAGAGTATGACATACACTTAGATGATTTGTGAAGCATAACCATTTATGTAGTGCTTATGAAGCCTTTCTGTAGTGCTTATGAAGCAATTATGTAGTGCTTGTGAAGCATTTGTGTAGGCTATAAAGCCTTTTTAAGTTGTACTTCGTTTAAAGTGGGACCCATATTTACATGCCTATATAAATACATACTTTGTAATAATAGTGATGTTTGGACTGAACGTGTCAGTTCTGCAAGTTTTCCAATTAGGCCTATTGTTTAAGAAAATCGAAACTACAAACTTTTGACAAGATTCCTGAGGTGATGATGTCATTCTGAAACAGTCACGTACCAGTGAAGAGGCCTCAGCGGCAAAATGGAAACAATTAGACTTTGTCCTAGTCTACATCAGCGGCTACATTGTAATGATTTAATTCAGAGAACATTTGGTTAAAATATTCGATCCAGGCGCCTGCGTAGTAGCAGTGTACTGCGGAGGGAAATCCCACTCCCAGTTCAGATGTGTGTTGGGGGCGGTTGTTGTGAAATGGGGGTCCTGTAGCCGATGTGTGTGAATGTAGGCTAGTCCTGCGTGTGTGCTACATGTATGCTTGAACGTGTATATTAAAATATTTCGAATTATTAGAATAGTCCGGCCTACATATAAACAATACAATTATTTCAACCTAGTAGGCTACCATGGACAGTATGTGCGATTTTATGTTTTATAAATAGCCTATGCATGAACTGCGGTCTCATTGAAGGACACGAACGAGGGGCATTAGTAAAGCAATCGGACCTCAGATCATCATGTCTACGTCGGCTACGAACAATGGTAGACTCCATACGGACGAGAAATACAAACAACGAAAATACCAATCTTTTCTCTTCTATCAGGCCGTGCGGGATCTAAAGCCTGTTTGGATGTTGGAGGACATGCGGACAATGGAGACCTTTTACTGGGAGGAAGACGCCAGCCAGAGGTCCTACACTCCCTCGGAGGCATTGCTGTACGCTATCGTACATGACCACCAAGCCTACGCTCAATATTTGCTCAGTCACTACACTGATGAAGCACTGGCCATGCCCGGCGAGCGCTTTTGTTGCTGTCCATCCTCTGCCCCGCATTTGGCGATGGCTGTCAGGTATGACAGACGGGACATACTGGGTCTCATATTGCAAGAAGCGCATCGATTACCTAGTCTGCGGTCATATATGAACCGAGGCGGATGTTTTCACATGGAGGACGGTAAAACCCCACTACATCTGGCCTGTGAGCTCCTGCGCTCAGAGTCAGTTATTCTGTTATTGGGCAACGGCGCCTCGCCACAGGCAGAAGATCAAAACGGTATGACGCCACTGGATGTCATTTTGGAACAGCTGTGGGACTCCAAAGTGAACATTGGGCCCAAAAAGCTATGTCTTGACAACTTGTTAATGTTTATGCCTGAGATTCGTTTCAAAATGAAGAGTGCACTCGAAGGAGACCCAGTTTGTTGGTCCAAAGTCCTTGGTGAGGACAAATTCAAATACCTCGTTGGACAGAAGCCAGCGCCACTGTTTCTCATGGCTATGCAAAAAATTCTGAGGCAGCTTCCCCCAGAGCAGTTCCCTGACAGCCTGGATGAGCTTCCCATACCTTCCTCATTGAAACCACTACCCTGCAAACAGCTTGGACAGCTGAAAGTGTTTTAAACGTGTTTTAACAAGTTTTAAAACTGTCTACATTATGTATTTATATGAATGTTTTAGCATGATCAAGATATCTGTGTGATGAGCATGTAGGTCCCTATGTATGATTGTATCAATACAAACCCCTTGTATGAAATTAAGAAGCTATAAGAATGGGTGCTAATTATGATAATATCTGTGATTCAAGTTTCATAAATAAATGAAAAAGGTATTTGTGTAAATTATTTACATTTTATTTTTCAACCTTTTTATATAAGTTGTATGCAAATGTCTCAGACTGGAGACTACAGTATAACAATATATTTTAATTGTCGTGCTGAATTTTACGCTTTTATAGCCTACAGAACAAAGACAATGTGTGATTGGTTATCTGTATAGAATGATTACCTCAATTATGTTTAATATCTTAATAGGAACTTTTAAACATATTTAAAATGCCACTAACAATTCCATTATGCTTCTCCAGTGATGGCTTTCCTCATTATCAACATAATGCTCAAGAGAAAAGAGAATTTGAGAAACTAATAAATCGAAACTCGCATCATTGTTTTTTCTCTTCAGTCTTTTATCATTTGAATATAAGTGATAGGCTTATAAGCATATTGATTGGTATATTTTATATTGCCTTAACTGATTGTTTGATCATTAGTAGTCCGCAGCAGCAGAGTGACACAGCTCTGCTCTCTCCCGGACGACTGTGGCCTAGATGTGTCATAGTGCTGTCTGTGAACTGTTTTCATTCTCCACCATTGCCTCCGAACATAAGGACTATTTAAATGCCATGTATACGCTTTATAAGGTCTATTCAAATGCCCTTCATAAGGACTATTTAAATGCCATGTATACGCTTTATAAGGTCTATTCAAATGCCCTTCATAAGGACTATTTAAATGCCATGTATACGCTTTATAAGGTCTATTCAAATGCCCTTTATAAGGACTATTTAAATGCCATGTATACGCTTTATAAGGTCTATTCAAATGCCCTTTATAAGGACTATTTAAATGCCCTGTATACACTTTATAAGGACTATTTAAATGCCCTTTATAAGCTTTATAAGGCCTATTTATATTACCTTTATATGATTTATGGCCTATTTAATTGCTTTGTAAATAATTACAAATATGTTATTAGAAGTCATGAGACATATGTCACAATTGACAAAGAGCCAGCTAAAGGCCTGTTATATTACCCTTATACAGTGTCGTAGTTGCATAAACATGATTTATGGGTTTCAAGCCTTATGAACACACACATATTAGGCCTACATTACAATGATGATAGTTTCTCTTGGCAGTAGTTGGCCAGAGGCCAGCGCTCACACAATATTTGCTACTGGATTGCTGATATTAAAATGATGATGATAATGATTCTGATAATAAGCACTGACAGTACACTGATGATGGTCAGACAATACAGTCTCTCATACAGACTTGCAGGGACATGGTAAATGTAGACTGACTGCAGTTTGTCTGTCCAAATATCCACCAGGAAAGGGACTGTATGGTAGTCCTCTGTATTTGTGGGCCCTATTATTTTTCTATTGATGGTGGGACCTAAAAAACCTACTCAAATCACTTTGTTTAATCATTTTGAGGCCTGATCAATGCACTTGTGTTATTATTCTCCAATCAGAATCATCCATATTTAAATCATAATCTGATCTGTGTTTACTTATCAGTGAGACCACTGTAACAACTTCAAATGAGTGTTTGTTTATGTGAAATTAGTGTTTATCATATCTAATTGGTCAGTGACTATTATTATTATTATTATTATTATTATTATTTATTTAGCAGACGCTCTTATCCAGAGCGACTTACAGGAGCAATTAGGGTTAAGTGCCTTGCTTAAGGGCACATCAACAGATTTTTCACCTAGTCGGCTCGGGGATTAGAACCAGCGACCTTTCGGTTACTGGCACAACGCTCTTACCCACTAAGCTACCTGCCACTCACCTACACATCAGATCTCATAATTTTTTTATCTGAAGAAACATGGATGAAAAACCTGCCAAAGGCTTATTACTGTGGAACACTAGATGCGGAAATGGCTTGACTGGCATATGTACTACAGTCAGTGTACTTCCTCTGTTAGAAGGAAAGGCTGTCCAGCAGATCCATTCAACCTTCAGTTATTTATTAAACATTGATGTGTTGCATAGTAAGCATGTGGTCTCTGAAATGTAAAGAGAGAAAAACAGAATAATGAATACAGGAATACGTAGTAGCCATTAAATAGTAAACAACCATAGACCTATCATGCATGAGCATATCAAATACAATGTCACTTGTGAACTATAATACAGCTCTGCCGCTAGATGGCAGTATCTACTTCTAAAAAGGCCACAAGGCACAACTCCCTCAAAGAGACGGAAATACACCTTGCTGTCCAGTAGTAATTGGTAACGCAAACCTCCATTTTAGACATTAGCAGGCCACATGAAAATATACCAATAAAGTCCCAATAAGTGGCATAAAGCGCTCTAATATACTCAAATAAAAGAACAACTTATAATAATAAGGCTGTAATAACCTAATACCCTGACAAGGTTACATACAGAAATATAATACGGAACAGCTGTATAGGAATTAGTGGAGTGCTCACATATTAAACATGAACCACAGAAATGCAGACAAAACAGGTAAAATATCAGAATAAACCAACTAAGGGTGGGAATATGCATACTGCAAGTGGCATATTTTCAAAACTTTTAAGTACAAAACTCTAAACTGATAACACTTGTAATGCCAGAACCTTTAATTGTGCATTCATTGAAGTTGAACACACCCCATCTTTTAAGGTTTTCGTTAGAACGTTTCGTTTAGTCAGTAATATATTAGATAATGATCAGTAAAATGACTCAACAGGGAGACTAACATTTAATCCACTAGCAAAAAATGCATGATACAAGTGCTTAATAGAAGAAACAATAGATGGCAAATACCATACATGTCCAAACAGTATTTAGATATAACTTGACATGTACCACATTCCAAGTTTACGGCAAACCAATTTGTTTGTATTAGAGTGTGTGTGTGTAAGTTTGGAGAATACTGAGAAAGATGTCAGTCTTACAGTTGTGGTATCCTTATACAGTGCATAAGTAGTAGAAATGGTCAGATATAGGGGTAGAATGTATTGTAAAGCAGTAGTCTACAGTAAAAAAGGTATTGTTGTAGCATGGTGTACAGTGCATTCTGAAAGTATTCAGACCCCTTGACTTTTTCCAAATTTTGTTATAGCTTTATTTCTAAAATTGTTAAAAAAAAAAAATGGTATCATCAATCTACACACAATACCCCATAATGACAAAGCAAACACAGGTTTAGAAATTTTAGCAAAAAAAACTGAAATATCAAATTTACATAAGTATTCAGACCCTTTACTCAGTCCTTTGTTGAAGCATCTTTGGCAGTGATTACAGCCTCGAGTCTTCTTGGGTATGACACTACAAGCTTGGCACACCTGTATTAGGGGAGTTTCTCCCATTCTTCTCTGCAGATCCTCTCAAGCTCTGTCAGGTTGGATGGGGAGCGTCGCTGCACAGCTATTTTCAGGTCTCTCCAGAGATGGTCGATCAGGTTTAAGTCCGGGCTTTGGCTGGGCCACTCAAGGACATTCAGAGACTTGTCCCGAACCCACTCCTGTGTTGTCTTAGCGGTGTGCTTATGTCATTGTCCTGTTGGAAGGTGAACCTTCGCCCCAGTCTGAGGTTCTGAGTGCTCTGGAGCAGGTTTTAATCAAGGATCTCTCTGTACTTTTCTCTATTCATCTTTCCCTCGATCCTGACTAGTCTCACAGTCCCTGCCGCTGAAAAACATCCCCACAGCATGATGCTGCCACCACCATGCTTCACCGTAGGGATGGTGCCAGGTTTCCTCCAGACGTGACGCTTGGCATTCAGGCTGAAGAGTTCAATCTTGGTTTCATCTTGTTTCTCATGGTCTAAGAGTCCTTTAGGTGCCTTTTGGAAAACTCCAAGCAGGCTGTCAGGTGCATTTTACCGAGGAGTGGCTTCCGTCTGGCCACTGTACCATAAAGGCCTGATTAGTGGAGTGCTGCAGAGATGGTTGTCCTTCTGGAAGGTTCTCCCATCTCCACAGACAAACTCTGGAGCTCTGTCAGAGTGACCATCGGGTTCTTGGTCACCTCCCTGACCAAGGCCCTTCTCCCCCGATTGCTCAGTTTGGCCCGGGCAGCCAGCTCTAGGAAGAGTCTTGGTGGTTCCAAACGTCTTCCATTTAAGAATGATTGATGCCACTGTGTTCTTGGGGATCTTCAATGCTGCAGAAATGTTTTGGTACCTTCCCCAGATCTGTGCCTCATCACAATCCTGTTTCGGGGCTCTATGGACAATTCCTTCAACCTCATGGCTTGGTTTTTGCTCTGACATGCACTGTCAACTGTGGGACCTTACATAGACAGGTGTGTGCCTTTCCAAATCATGTCCAATCAATTGAATTTACCACAGGTGGACTCCAATGAAGTTATAGAAACATCTCAAGGATGATCAATGGAAACAGGATGGACCTGAGCTCAATTTCGAGTCTCATCGCAAAGGGTCTGAATACTTATGTAAATAAGGTTATTTTTAAAATTAAGTATTGATGTCACAAATGTATCATTTGTACTGTTCTTTATTATAAATTGCTGCTTCTGTGTGTACCTGTGTTGTTATATGCACAGGTAGCATGTACATTTATACAGTCCTTAGTGTTATTATTGCTCTTGTGCTATCATATGTACAGTGTATTCATGACCTCTGTTTCCCCTGTTTCAAAACCACTACCATTCCACCACCTTTCATGTCCATTTCATTCCTGTGTGTGTCAATAAAGTATCCTAGTATGTAACCCCTCAACATTTTTTGAGATAAAGAACCTTGTCTGTGTGGTGGCCCTGGGTTCTAGAAATCTGATATTGACAGCTAATTGCATAACCAGTTTTGTAGCTCCAGGCAAGAACACATTCTAGGCCAGGTGTTGAGAAAACAATGATCT